GCTGAATGTAACAGTTAAATGATTTAAACAATCTAATTTAATTGGTGCTGCTAATGTTTACTTTTTGGATTTCACTCAATTCCAGGCTGTTTTTGTTCTGGTAGGAGTCAGGGCAGCAGGCAGGCTGACTAGTCCCCAGCTGGCCCTGTCTGTCTAAATGGGCCTTGCTGCCAGTGGCCTACTTACCTCCAGCTGGCCCCAGTTACCCAGCTGCCTGCATATGAGCAGCAGCCCTTTCAGTGTTCAAGAGGCCACTCAGCAGCACAGATATCTTCCTGGCTAGCTCCTCTTTACATAGCCATACTCCAGTTCAGATCCCTGTCTCCAGGCATGTGGCTCCTAGTTCCAGGCTTGTGGCTCCTGTCTAGGTTCCAGTTTCTACCTCCGACTCTATTTCAGATCCTGACTTCCTGACCTTGCCTGCTCGGGACACCTTGGCTTAGAAGTCCCTAGCATAAAGCCCCGACCGCTCACATTTCCTGGTGCGCTCCTGATAGTCTGTTGCTGACTTCTCTTTCTGCTCCTGTTTACATTTCTTGTTCTCCTGCATTCGTTCTGTGTTGTGGCATTTTTGGTTTTTAACACTTGAAAGAAAATTGGATAAAATGCTTTCTTGCTTTCTCTTTTTATGCAGTATCTTTTATTTATCTATTTATTTGAGTTATTGTGTATTTCTGATTTAAGATCTCTCTCTCTCTCTCTCCCCCCTATGGACACTGACTTCTGGCCACAGAACTGAATGCACAAGAATTCTGTGTTTGAATTGCAAACACATCCAATTAGGAATGTTCTACAAGAAAAGGCTGGATGTCTGAAGCTTAGGGTCTCAGTATTTTCAATGCTGCTCCTCTTTTTATATTTATCAGAAGCTGTAATAGACCTGTGACACTGAATCAGAGCTGAAGTTGAATTTCTCCCTATTGGAAAAGATAAATGGAGAAAAAAAGAAATTCAGGCTTTGCAAGATGAAATAGAAAAACTTGACAATGGTAGTCATCACAGTCAGGTGTCCTCTGGGAATACAATGAGGGATAGTGAACTTAAAGTTACATATGAGTTAAACTTATTTCATTTATTAAAACACATTTTAACCCTGCATGATTAAGTGAGGGACTTCTGTGCAGGAGTGAGGAGTGTTAGTGCTTGGGTCTGGCAAGGGAAGAGACTCAGAAGGGCTTTTCTGTAGCTCACTAGCTGAAGTTCTAGCCAGTGGTGCAGAGAAGGCCTATTCCCTATCTGGAAAGAGGTTGAAAAATCTGTTGGAGGAAGGATTAGTTTTGGAGTTGAAAGTGACCATGTTGCTTGCATTTGATAGAAGTGCTCTGTTGGCCACAGAGGAGCATGTCTGGTATGCAGGTGCTAGGAAAGGGCTGATTTACGGGTGCTTGGAAGACAGAGGGCTCCTATATACATGCAGAGAGACTACTCTGATGCACTGTAATTCCAGTGTGTTGGAGTGAACTTGATTGATCAAGTCTGCTGGAACGTGGTAATTATTGCACTCCAGGAGACTCCAGCATCATGTGTATCAGCGTCCCCACACTGAAAAATGGCAGCAGAGCACTTTAAAGTAAACTAAAGCTCATTCAACAACTTTTAGTTCAAAGTGCCCTGCCGCCATTTTTCATCATGGGGACGCTCATACACGTTGCTGTGGGTGCTTTTAATTAGCAAGGATCTCGGAACTGCACTGATCAAGGTGCCCTTTCCTTTTCCTCCCCTCCCCACTGCCTCCTACAGCATGTCTGTAAATGCCCAGATTACCATGGCTGCTTCCTGTCCAGGCTGCCTGGCTTTTGTCCTTGGAGAGGCTGAGGCTGTTTTGGTTTTGAGGGATTTCAGCATCCATGTGGATGACAGCTCGGCTAGGCTGGTCACAGGTGCTGTAAAACATGCGATCATTTCTAGTGGTTCCTAACTCAGCTCTCAGTAGAGGAGTCTGTACTTCTATGTCCTATCTCAGATTTGGAGCATCTGTTAGGAGGTGAGATTAGATGCAGACAGTTTCCTATGGTCTAATCATCATCTGTTTTGCACAGACTAAGGCTTTTCCTTTTGTCTGACAGGGTGATGTACCTCTTTTTATGATGAATTGACTCTATTAAAGAGCACTTGTGGATAATGCTTTCCAGTCATCGGGCCAGTCATGTTTGAAAAATTTGACATACTGTGTCCTTTCAGTGCAGAAAACTGTCACAGTGTATCTAACTGTGTAAGTCTATCTTAGATGTCATAAGTTCAGTTTAGCTAATGTTCCCCTAATTAACTACCTGGATTTAAGACTTGATCTTTCCGTCCCACAGTTATGTGGACGTATATTTTTATTTGCTGAAGATCACCATGGAACGCAAGCTGTGTGTGTGTGTGTATGCACATGTGCCTGTGTATGTGACTCTTTTGTAAATATAGGGTATAGTCCAACATTTCCTGTTTGTGTCGATAAACATGGATAAAACAGCGTTAGTCTTTGCATCTTGTTACAGTCATTATGTACAGTAGGATCTGTTCCTGCAGTTCCACATACAATTCCCATTGACTTCAAGAGGAATCAAGTACTTGTAGAGGCCAGAGTATTGGGCCATGAGCTCAATATATATATATATATTTAAAATAGTTTGGAGGACATTTCCTAATAATACAACTTCAAAGCTATTGGGCAATGTGACCTAAATACAGGGCAAAGGACTGAGTATTCCATTTTAATATTAAAGTTGCACATTAAAGAAATCCTGTGGCATAGAACTAAAATTTCTACTTTAAAAAGTGTAGAAATGTAAGAAGCAAAGCAGTCCTCACTTTGAAGCTGTTGAATTCAGCATGGAGGAAATGTATAGGTTTTCTTTTCCTTTCTTTTCCTTTCCTTTGCTTTCCTTTGTGTTCCCTTCAGACTTTTATTTATTTATTGGGCATAGTTTTGGAAAGAAAATCCATTAGTATACTAAACTATTCAAACAGGTCTGAAGAGGAGATGTACCGTGGGCTAAAAAATTTATGAAGAGTATCAGTTTACTGTAGAAGAACCACAGAGAAAACCAGAATTTGCAGTTCCATCTGCATTCCTCTCCATGTCCGCAAACCTTGTGCATGTCGTCTGCAGCCTAGTCTTAATTTTAAAAACCATGGGATGGACACGTGTACTCACGTGCACATGCTTTTTTGCTTTCTCTGTCTGACTAGCTTGGCTGTGTTCTAATGATATGGAAACGTTTTCTGTAATAAATAGAAATTTAAGAGGTGATCTCAGTGTTGTACAATGAGGGGTGGATACCAGTAGTTAGTACATTCAGTAATTAGGCAAGCACTTTTTTTCCCCATTGCAACCTTTTTAAAATGATGTGGGGACATGAGGTACATCTATGTTTGTCCTGTAATCTAGTAGGTCCGTTGGAGTGGCTCAACTCTAGTATTTTCTTGGGTAACAGTATCCTTATGTTATTTCATAAAATCAATTCCTGCTTTTCCAGTTATTCACTGAAATCTCTTATGCACTGAATGTTGCATGCAAACCCAGCTACTTGGTGTTTCCTTAGTCATTTTGCAGCTATATGTATAAAAAGTGTTTGGGGACTGCACTTAAAATTCTTTGTATCAGAGCATGTAGCCAATAATCCTGTTTGCCTAGATCCTAGGACCCAGTAACATTTTAGTAGCAAAGGGGAAGGCAGTAAGAATTAGGTGGATCAGGGAATTGGCAGATAATGACCTTTCTCTTATGTCGTTGATTCATATCAAGCCCAGTTCAATATTGACCTAAAAGTTAATGCTATCAAAGCCACTTTGACATGCATGAATTTGATTCTAATCCTGTTCCCCCTAGCGGACTGGTCTCCCAGGCTAAAGACACACATTCAAAAAGCCTGAGCCTGAATTGATTCAATCTTTGCAGGTTAGTCTAACCTGGCTAGGCTAAATCAGTTTATAGCTGGACAGACATCCCAGACATGCAGGCACATACCTGCAGTGGCTCAGGCTAGAAGCTGGGGAGTGCTAGAGCAGCCCTCCTTTCCCTTTCACAGGACTGAGCTGAAGGGGGCGTGGCCAGGGCCCAGCAGAATTAGGGAGCCCCCCCCTTGATAACAGAGCATTTATCAGCTCTGTTATCAGCATTTATCACCCCACCAGAAAACAAATAGCCTCTCTCATTAGTTCAAACTCTTCTTAAACAAAGAAGGAACGGAGGGACATCAACAGCTCTGTTGGTAATTAGCTCCAAAAAGTCCTAAACTGACGCTGCTGTCTGCCACATCATGTAGCCAGCATGTGGTCTGCTAGCTAATGCTGAGGTGTTTGTGTAAGTCAGAGGAGATGGGGGATCCCTGCCTAGCAGAGAGTGGTGAGGGAAAGGGGAGAGCAGGAGGAAGCCAGGCAGATGCTGCTGTGTCTGCAAGTCTCTGCCAGAGCTGCAGCCAGGGAGCAGAGGGGAGGGCCTAGCCCTGCTGTGAAGCAGAGAGCCCCACCTAGTCCAGAGAGCATGCCGGGAGCATGCTGGGGGAGTCTGATTTAACTTGAACCAGCAAGAGGTCTGGGACAAACATTGCATAAGCCGGTTTGACCCTGATCAGTTAAGTCTGATACTGCATTCAACCAGGTTTATCTGAAACTGGTTTCAGCCATTTTCAGACTGGTTTATGTTTATTGAACATCTGTTCTGTTACAGGTTTAAACCAGTTTCTGATCACTTAAACTGTTTTCTGTGTAATGTCTGTCTCTAGCTCTGTACAGTGAATACCTCTACCGTCCAAGTTATTCACTGGAACCCTAATTGGTAATCTCAGCAGCTATAACATACTTCTAGGATTCTGCATAAATATTTGCCTGCTTACTCAGAGGACTGGATGCAAAAGCCAGAGATGCCTCTTCCCATTTTATATTCCTAATCTGAAATAATATTAGGGCTGGTCCTTCTGAGGAAGATGGTAGGGAAATATATATACACAAAATATTTGTACCAGCATATTTATATTTCTTATGCCAGTTTCCTCTGTTGTCTTTTTTTCCAGTTTCTGGGCATAGCGTTTCTTGGAATTGGATTATGGGCGTGGAATGAAAAGGTAAGTTGAACTACAGCACACTTTTTTAAAATTTATTTTTTATTTTGCAAGCGATTTAAATTGCTATGCTTTGCATGGCCCACCCATTCATATGCAGTCTGTAGTCCAGAGAAAATGAGCCTTGCTTTTGAATGCGATCTTAGTTTGTCTCACCTTGGAGATGCTTGGCATCTTTCCTGGGTGTGCTTTGGCAAAAGAGGTAGACTGATAACTGCATGCAGAGCAGCCATTTCAGCACAGGCATGCTGAAATTGCAGCATAGGTACTAAAGCTCTTTATTGTAGAGGCAGTGTTGGCACTGTTTTTATGAAGGCGTATTCCCTAGGATTCAAAAGGAAGCTGCAGCCACCCATTTATGAAATCTAATGTTCTGAGTTTTACTGTGTGAATTTACAACAGTGTGTGTAGCTGTGGTTTAAAAAGAAACCTGAGACTGACAAAAAGATAATATTGTTTTTTCTACTGTGTAAATAGAACTGTACACTAGAATGTCTTTTGTTCTCATTCTGATCACTTATTTTTGTGAAACAGGCTCATTACTCCGAGGGGAATGGTTCGTAGGACTGAGCCACATTTTGAATATTTGCTTAGGCATAGGAGGTGTGAAGACCAGTACTTTTAGCTCTAAAGTAGTGGTGCTCAAACTGTCCAAGTCCCGTAAGTTGGATGAATGGCATGGGGCTGGTCTGTGGGTCAGATCCCATGTGTGGGGTTGATTCACAGATGCAATCCATTATGTTGGCCCAGCCACATACACCAGTGTGATTTGGCTGCAGACTAGCTTTGTGTGCTGTAATCCAGTCTGCCGGGCCATGTTGTCCAGCCCATGGAACTCCGAGTGGGTCTGGAAATTTGATGGGAGAGGAATGGTGGCAACCTGGATTCTGCAGGCCCTAGGTTCAGCACCACTGCTCTAAAGTATAAAATTAAAGTATGTATCAGGAGTCTGGGTAAGGAGCTCGGTTTATCAACATAACAGCAAATAACATGAAAGCTGTTCTTTCATTTTTGCTCTTAGTATTTTTATTAATAAATACCTCCGATGATAAGGGTTTCTGAGACTGAAACAATATACAGAACAGTACTAAAAATGAAAAGCACATTGTAAGTGCTGTGCATTTATACTGGGTTCACTACTGCCATTATAGGTTGTATTGACCACAGACAAATAATGCATTGGGAACCTGCTTCTTGAGTAAGGTTTTGTGTTTAAAGTTCAGAGTCTTTTCCTGTCTGGGCAGTCGAATAGTTTGGAATTTTTCAACTGGTCTGTGTGTTCCTTCTGAATAAAGGTTATGCAAAGTTGTAAGATAAGACTTAATCTTAAATGAATTTGAATAGGCAGAGAAATACATCATTAAAGCCCCCATTGCACTGGAGCCTGATCCTGCTGTAAACAAGCGCTTAATTTTATACAGTCTGAATATTCTCAGTGAGTTCAGTAGAGCTACTTAGTGTGTGTGTGTATAGTGAGTGAAGTGTGTGCTTATGTCTTTTAAAGGTTTAATGCATATAAGTACATGCTTTATTTTAAATTGGCTTCTTGAGAAATTCATCTAGTATTTCAGCAAACAGTGCAAGTTCATTTTTTCTGTGGTTATGATAGTGTTCTTAGACTACATGCCACTGAACTAAATCAGTCCATGAACAAAAGGGCATTCTGGCAAAATAACAATTCTTTAGTTCTTATTATAGATCTCTTGTGGCTCTGTCTCTTCTTAGAGGAGTGTATCCTATTTAAAATTATCAATAGCCAGAAACTGAAACCATTTTCTCTCCTTGAAATATAGCAGTATCATATCAAATTTATATAGTATATCATAAATTTAGAGACTCAAGTAAACGTTACATGCTTAATTTTAAGAAAAAAAAATCCCAAAGCAGCGAAGTGCTAGTTAGGACTATCAGGCTCCTAGTCTGACAGCCTGTCATTAATGAATAATTAACTGAATAAATTAATGAATAAATAAAAATATCCTTTTTTTTAAGGTCAGATTATTTCCTCAAACAGGGCGTCCACTTACTTTAGTAGTTGCTGTGAGTATGTGCATAGGCAAAATTTTGGCATGTCTTTTAAAATTGTTTTCTTACTCAGGACAACACTGCCCGATGTGGTACAGACGAGGCTTAAAATATTCCACCCTAAGGAGTTTTTGAGGCTGCACTTAAGTGGCATCCAGTAGCAGTGCCTTTGTGTAACATTTGTTTAAGTGTGTGTGTGTGTGTGTGTGTGTGTTTAAGAGGATCTTATGACATCATTCTGTTCATCTAAGTTGTGTCTTATGGGCATCCTTATTAGGGCTGTGCAAAGCTTCAGTAGTTGATTTGATTCAGCCCATTTCAGTAGCTGAATCTCCGAATCCAAATGGAATTGGGAGACCCAGTAAAAGGTCCCAATCGAATCGGAAAAGATTCAGCGCTGTTTTGGAGATTTGGCCATAGACTAAACAGGCAGCAGTCCTTGATGCTGGACACAGCTGCCTCCAGCTGGTAAGTCTGTTGTGGTGGGTGGAAAGGGGAGGGACAGGGTGTGAGGGAGAGGCAGATCATGCTCCCACAGCGAGGGTGGGCTGGGACCCAGGCTGGGGCAAGCACTGCCTGGGGGGAAGGGGGGGGCTTGTGCCGCTGCGTGCCACTGGTCTAGGACCTTCTCATGTGGCGGATTGTCCAGCGGCTCTCACCATTGCTCTGGCCACTGTTCTGGAGGGCATGGGGCAGGGGTGTGTGTGTGCCCCAGGATCTGCACGGGGCGGGTAGGGCTGGGTGAAAGGCAGAAGGCGCTGGGAGCAGGGGCTGTGCCACCCCCCTGTCCCCTCTACCCTGCCCCCCCACGCCACTCGCCCAGCTGTTGTGGGACTGGTGCAAGACTGAGCCACTGCACGGCCTCCAGACAAGTAGCGGCTTCACCCTGGCTGAGTGGCAAGGCATGTGGGGGGGGCGGCATGTGTCTCCAGATTGGGGTGGGATGGGGGCTATGGGGAGGCTGCAGCGAGTTTTCAGGTGGCACATGACACCCCCCCCCCCCCATACTCTGCTGCTGCTCGGCCAGCCAGGGCGAAGCTGCTGCTCATCCATGAGGCGTGGAGAGGCCAGGCCGGCTCTCGCCACTGCATGCCACTTGTCCAGAGGCAGGGCAATGGCTCAGTCTCGCGCTGGTCCTGCACCACTGGGCAAGCACGGCCCCACACTGGCTGGGCAAGTGGCAGGGGCATTACAGCCCCCACTCCCAGCATCGTCTTCCTTTTGCCTGGCACAGCCTTGGCTGTGCCTGCCCCATGCAGATCCTGGGGCACACGCCCCTGCTCCTTGCTCTTCTGGACTGGTGGCAGGAGCGGCAATGAGGGCTGCTGGACAACCTGCCACACGAGCAGCTCCCAGACGAGCAGTGCGAGCCGTCTCACCCCCTTCCTAGGCAGCACTTGCCCCAGCCTGGGTCCCAGCCCCAATTCCTCCTTTGCTGTGGGGGTGTTTATCTGCCCCCCTCACGCCCCTTCCTCCTCCCCTCTGCCCACCACAGCAGACTTACCAGCTGGAGGCAGCTGTGTCCAGTGTCAAGGACTGCTGCCTGTTTAGTTTATGGCTGAATCTTGGAAGTGGCACCGAATCTTTGCATCTGATCCGGCTGAATCGAATCGGGACGGTGATTTGAATCACTGAATCAAATCACTGTCCCTCCAAATTGGCTGAATCCAAAGTGAATACTTGCTGTTTCGCACAGGCCGAATCCTTATCTGTCCTCTTCCACTGTCCTTACAGCTTCTTCCTAGTTATTTTATCTTTTCATACATCTGTTTCATTCTCTTACTCATACTTGCCACATCCCAAGGCATTTAATAGACTACAGAAAATCAATATGCCAAACAATATAGAAAAAGCTGGAGATCAGAACCAACCAGAGCTGGGTCTACTATAATAATTCCCTTTTTAATAACAGTCCAATTCACCTTCAGTGCGAGAAGCATACTGAAATCTTGTTTGCCTGGGATTTTTTTCCCCTCTAGTTTGCTAAAGGGGACTTTGGTGAAAACTTCACTTTAAGGGAAGTAACTTGCTGCAATAGGCTTGTGATGTTCCTTACAGCCTTAGGGGAGCTGTAGAACTTGCTTGTCAGGCAGTCAGTGGAACTGGCTTGGCAACCAGTCAACCGGGCTAAACCGATTCTGAAGACTTTGCCCCCTAAATCATGAACCTGAGAGGAGAATGTGAGAAATGCTGAAGCAGGGAACCTGGTGTGTGGAGAGAGTGTGTCTGTCAGACCAAATCAATCGCCTTTTGCCTGTTTCTGTGTCCCAGGGAATGAAAAAAATCAGGAGGGGGGAAGCAGTACTTGCTGCATAGTTGTATACACATGTATTCCAGCCCACAGATGTTTTAATGCTTGGTTGGAAATTGGAATTGTGTGCATCTTCCTAGTGCTGCAGGCAAATTGGGCAGTGCCTGGCACATACCCTTTGCTTTGTTCCCAGTGTTGCATTTATGGATTTTACACCATAGGGTGGTCATGTGAATGAGTTCTAACTGGGTTTATAACACATTGGCTAATGAATAAAAATAATTTTAAAAATCAAATTTTACTTTTCTTGATACTTGAGCTGGTTATTTACTTTTTTTGAATTCTGCTTCTCCATGCCAAGAAAATTAGACAAGTCTTCCTTTCTGTTCTCAGCCTGTCCATGTGCTGCTGCTGCAACTGTTTTCTGTCGGTGATTCTCAGCTTCATTAGATCTAAGGCACTTCTTAGACTTGAGGCATCCCTCAGAAAATGCCAGTTCTGAGCTTTTATTCATTTTTTGACTTGGAAAAATAGAGCAATTCTTCTGTTGCAAAGAACTCTAAAATACCACAACAGGTCAGAATGTTTTTGATGCTCTGGATTTCTATTTGAAATCTCTGTGTTTAGCTTGTGTAGATGTTCACACACATAACAGTGCTACTATTGTGTTGCACTCTGTGGCAGGATCTCAATGGAACTGCAGGGTTTCATGGCACCTGGATTGAAA